TTTTTTAACTATGAAACTAAATGTGAGAAATTAACTTTCTCAACCTTATATTCTTGGGAAAGTAAAAACAATCTTTATATCAAACACTTTCTTGTACTCACTTATTACATTATTTAATGATATTTATTTGTTAATATTGTATATGTTTCAAGACTCATTAATATCTTTAAATTTTTATTCAAATTTTGTACTTCACAACTCAAATATAATTATAATACAAGTAATGCTAATAATACTTTTTTCTATCACTCTTTATTAATGATTGAAATTTATAGAAATTTATAAAGTTTAATGGGTGTTGCTTTCATCAAAATTTATAATTTTTTAATAAATTTGTTAATAATAAAAATAATGTCATAGTGCTACTAATTTTTCTTGTAAGACATTCATTTTGGCCTTTATTATTTAAGAAACATTATTAGATGATTGCACGTCATCAATAAATATTTTATAGAGACCAAAATTGTAAGATAGGAACTAAAAACATTTTAGGCAATATAATTTTGTTTATAAAAATGTTAGCAACATACTTTTTAGATTGTACTTTCTTTTGTTGATTGAAATTTATTAAAAAAATTAAAAATTTTGTAAATCCCACACATTATCTAATAATTTTCTCTTATAGTTTGATAGTTTACAATAATTTTTAATCGATGATAAAGAGCATATTAGAAAAATTATATCAAGAATGTGTTGTTAGTACTTTTATTTTAAAGAAAATAAAATAAAATAAATAAATAAACTTTACAATTTATAAAGACTAAAATCATAAAATAAACTTTTTACGGGCCAAAATTCTAAGAAAAAAATTATAAAGACTTAAACATAAACAAATATCTATAATCTATGACTATCAATAAATAAAATAATCCTTTTAATAATTATTTTTGTGTCCATTTTAAAAAAAAATATCTACTCAATTATACAATAACTTCATTCCAATAATATAATGGATAGAATATATAAAAATAAAAAATAAAAAATAAAAAAACAACTAAACGTAACTGCTTGTATAATTGCTATATGAAAACACGAAATAACTCAAATTTACTAATATTATATAAAGTATAAACATATTTAAGTTATTTTATATCTTAACAAATATTAATTAATATATATATATATATATATATAACTGCAAATATTAAGGGTTTGTTTAATAAAATTAATTTATAAGTTATAAGAGTTGAAAAATTACAAACTTATGAGCTAGTTGATTAAATTGAAAGTATTTGGTAAAATTATTAAATAAGCTAGCTGATAAATGTCAAAAAGGATATAATAGGTTTTATAATGAAATTGAGAAAATATTAGGATAAGCAGAATGGTTAATAAATTAAAAAAGATAATAATAATTTCAAGTAAATTAATGAAGATAAAAAAGGAAAACGAAAAAAAAAAAGTCAAGAACTTAAACGTTATAAGTTGCCTCAATTAGCTTGTAAAAGTAGCTTCTAAGTTAATTAAAAAAGTTTATAAATTCTTGAAATGTCTTACTAAGCACAATCTAAAATTTGTGAATACATATGCATGAATATAAGAGTGACAAGGGTTACTACCGGCTTTGCATCCATTATATCATCTTGCTAAATACTAATGTTAATATCTTACATTGTGTTGGGAAGAATTGACTTAGCATGAATTTGAAAGGAGGGGAAGGGATTATCGATTATCAATTATTTATAAAATTAAAAAAATAAAAAAATAAAAAAATAAAAAGCCATGTGTGCTTGGGAAGAGAAATTGAGTGAATTAGAGAAGATTTACACGTGAGTCCTAATGAAATTTAAATCCCTTTATCCAATGAAGGGATTTGCATGGATTTAGTAACAAAAATATTCCAAGCCAAAGCTACTCCTACTTTGTTCACGAATATAATAAAAAAAATTCGTAATTAACTATAATTATTTAATTTGAAACCATAATCGATCAAGACACACTTATAATCAACTATACTTCCAACTCAAATGACATATAATTGATTTTGGGGTATGACATAACCAAATATCTCATACATACATGATTACATAATGAAATATCTAATAATATTGAAAGAATATTTGAGTATATACTAAAGTGATATTAGATTATATTTATTTCTCACTTATTCTTCGATTATGATACTATATTATTTTAAAAAAATATAATTTCACTTCAATATAATGAAAGGAGTAAAATAATAATTGTAATATTATTTATTTTTACATAAGAAATGTAATTATATAAAGTATAATTTTAAAATATTAATTTTTGTATATTTCTTACCTAATTTTGCTTTATCAAATAATAACAAATTTTATTCAATTTACTACCTATTTTTTATCAAATCAATAGTCATATATTCTCTCTTATTCTTTTTAATTCTTCTCCTCCAACAAACAAAGTATTAAGGAGACGTTTAGTACGCAAAATATTTTTATTTTTCTAAGAATTTAAAATTGAGAATCTTGGTTTTTCATGTTTGGTAGCTATTTAAAAAAATATTTCAAGGAATATAGTTTCTTGGAAACCATTTTTATCCTACTTTTCTACAACAACATTCTCA